GAGAGAGATGTTATAAACTAATCACTCGATTGTTAGATATAACAGAGCCGTATATATTATCAACCTTAAGCCATTGTCTTGAAATAAGAACCGACTATGTATACTAGCCTTAATTTTACTCATTAATTGTTCGTTGCTTAGCAAGGAAGATTTTATAGAAAAATATATTGCTCTTTTTCTTACCTATATAACAGGAGATGAGGTAATATGCGAAATCGAAATATATACGCAAGCTGTCCGCGACTTCTCTGCATATATTTACTTCGTTTACTGTCTTCTTTATGGTATACGGTATTATTCACTTTACTCCGTTGAGGTTTCTGTTCGTAATATTCTCGGTTCGGAATATTCGTAAACTGCGTCGTAGTACAATGCTATGCTAATCTGACAAATAAATTGAAAATAGGTTAAGCACGTTTCCCGTGTTGATAAACTATAACGTAATGCGTTCCGAAACCACCACATATTCTACGTCTCACCCCCACTCTCCGGCAGCTAAACGATATACAGTTTTTCGCTTTTTTTAGCGAAACCGTGATCTAACAAACGTTTTACTTAGTATATTCGGAACTAACAAATGATTCCGCATCGATTGACCACGGTTTGAATCGAAAATTGTAAAGAATTCTATATTTACCGGCTAAATTAACACTAAAAATTATTTTTGTGATTACGTAAAAACTATTAACTAACAAACGTTCTAATTAGTCTAACAATCAATAACAAACGACTAACAATCGATTCGTAAAAAAAAAAATGTCGTAAGTCGAAATTGTCCGGCTAACTTCTATGAGGTCCCTTGTGCCCGTAAAGGCCATTGCACGTAACAAAGTTTTATAGCGTTTTCGATTTGCGACTCAAACCGACTCGGGTCGCATCATGTATACAGGACTCTAGCATCAATGACGTGGAATACATACATATCTATGTATGTATTCCACGTCCATTGATGCGACCCGAGTCGGGTCGAGTAGTAAATCGAAAACGCCATTAGTCATAATCGTAAGGTTGTAAGAAAATAGACCAATCACAGTCGATTATTCTCCTCGCGCTTGAAGAATAATCAAGTGTGATTGGTCTATTTTCTTATGGCCTTACGATTAAAACTAAAACTTTGTTACGTGCAATGGCCTTAAGTGTTTTAAGCCCTAAGCCCTAAAAAATTGACCAATCACAGTCAATTATTCTCCTCAAATTTAACTGTGATTGAACAATTTCTTAAGAGCCTAAGCAGAATGGCTGTCTTGGCAGTGTTTTATGCCTTAAGTCTTTGTCTTATGTAAAGCGAGGAGCACATACTTCTGCACAACGCATAATACGTAAGCATAAGAAAACTGATTAGTCTTTATGCACATGTGTATGGACCAATCAATTTTCTTATGCTTACGCATTATGCGTTGTGCAGAAGTGTGTGCTCCCCGCTTTAAAGCCATCGCACACAAAATGCATAGCTTAGCATAAGCGTAGCATAAGACCGCTAAACCAATGAGCATCCAGCATAAAGTCGCCATATTGATTTACATAAGATGCTCATTGGTCCAGCGGTCTTATGCTAGTCTTATGCTATGCTTATGCAGCCTATGCAATTTTGTGTGCGATGGCCTTTAAGGTCTATCCAGACAAACTTGCATAGGTGCATAACCATATGCATAAAGAAACGGATTGGTCTATTTCCTTATGCACATGCATATGGACCAATCAATTCTCTTATGTTTATGTTTATGGGCTTATGCAAGTTTGTGTGGATATAGCTTTAGGGCTTAAAATACCTATTGTAGATGGGCACTTATGCTAAGACTCCATAGACGCGGAAACGCCGTGCGGTAGAGTGCGTTGACCAATCAGAAGGCTGCCGCAAGTCGCCTGCGGCAAAATCAAAATTTGTGATTGGTCAACGCACTCTGCCGCATGGCGTTTCCGCGTCTATGGAGTCTTAGCATAATGGCCCCTGCACACAGGACGCGGCAGCGCGGCATTGCGGCAACGCGGCACCGCGGTAACCAATTACCGTCTTGCTTTTCCGTTCTACTTTTGAAAGTAGTACGGAAAGGCAGATGCTGCGAAGCAAGAAGCGACGCGGTAGCCAATCAACGTGTTGCTTTTCCATAAAAACCAAAAGTTTATTGGCTACCACGTCGCTTCTTGCCGCGCGGCAAGCGTTTCCGCGTCCTGTGTGCAGAAGCCATAACTGTTACGTTCTACGAAAAGTGCGTGTGTCGGGGGTCAATTCTCTGTATTTTGAGACGAGGTGAAAATTACAAAAGTGAACAGATTTACTAGATTTCGACAAATGAAATTGTAGATTTTCTAGTGAATTTCCTCACTTTTGTAATTTTCACCTCGTCCCAAGATACAGGGGGTCGATTACGGTTCTTGAAACGAAGTGAGGCTGGTTTCACATGGGGCGTAAGATGCGTATGCGTAACTTGCGAGAGCCAATCAAATCATCTCAGCTACTATACGCGTATGATACGATTAAATACTGAGACGATTTGATTGGCTGACGCAAGTTACGCATACGCATCTTACGCCCCATGTGAAACCAGCCTGAAAATTACAAAAGTGAACAGATTTACTAGATTTCGACCAATAAAATCATAGATACCCTAGTGAATTTCCTCACTTTTGTAACTTTTACTTCGTTTCAAGAACCGTAATAAGCCCCCAGAATCGACCGCTGCACTAGTTTTACTAGTAGAAAGCGCTATCAGTTTTATGTTTTCAGTGGTCACAAACCGTGTCAGTTCAATACTTTTGTCAGAGACTGTACGCGGGTATTTAACATTCGATTGACAGAAGTGGGTAGTAGGTAGTCGCTGGTAGTTGGGTAGTCGTTCTCCCACGATATGGCTATGATTAGTGCCGGCTTGCGTCCGCGATTATGATAAAATGGAGTGATTTTCGCGATGAGTCGTCGATTCATCAGGCAAAATCAATGGGCAATAAGTCACGATCCGAGCGAATCGCGGTGAGTCCCGATTCACTTGCTGATTATTCAATATTTTTGACAAACACGCGTCGAATACGTCAAGCCCTATTCTATCAATGTGATAGGCGCTTCGATATCCAATTTGATAGTGTTGCTAACGGACACAGTTCGACATAACAATTTGTCAGGAAGGCGTGTAGGCCTTAAAGACGGTTCACTCTTCAATCCTCTTCATCGAAACTACCGCGTAAATAAATAATATATTTAAATCTTCTAATAATTACCGAGTCTGTCATTGAATTAAAAAAAAATGTTTGACTTGCTTTCGTGTTAAACTCCTTATCTTCACTGATCTTGGTTTTCGAGGTTTACACGCGAGAGAGAGTGATATTAACGTATAGATACTGCGCTCGCATCGATTTCTTTTTTAAAAACTTTAGTCCACGTTTAGAAGACACGTACCTATAAAGGTAAACTTTATAAAATCAACGCCACGTATTCTCGTTACTGCAAAAAGAGTATATTTTATATAACAAATTTATATTTCTTCACTTTTTAAATGTTATTTCCAATTCATCAATCAAGAGGCACGGTATATAAGTGTCTCGCGCCAAGTATAGCGTTCGTATCTACACGCCTTTCAGCGAGATACATGCAAAGTACTTTTAGAGTCTTTTTCGAGCGGATTAAATTTCAAAGGAGGCAGCGTAAAAATTTGTCTTTCTCGAAACAGTTTTACTTTACTAATAATTCGAAAGAGATTTTTTTTGCCGTTGATTAATTCTTGCATTAGTTGCATTGCATAATTGCATGAGCTCGAAATCAGAAAGCGTGAACGCTGAAACGCCGCGGCTGTCTTTCACAGAAGGTACCTTTAAATTGAAGAGAAATTGTTAAACTATGCTTTATTTTAATGTTAAAATGTTATGGAAATATTTATTACGGCTGTAATTCGTTATACTTACTGTCACATTGATCCCATGCGACTTGATATACAAATATAACTTATATATAAATAACAAATGTAAATGCACATTAATAAACACATCGGAATATAAATGTACTGAAAAATGTACATATATAGAACGTGTTAAGATTTTTTTAATTAAGCCGCGAAAAATATATTTATACTTATATAGTATAATAATAATTATTTTATACTAGTAAAATTTTTTTACATAAAAACATGTATAAGGGAGACCAGGGCTATCTGTCTACGAGGGCTATATGTGTCCACAGTACTGCTATCTGAAGTTTTAGGAGACAGAGACGTCTCTACCATTGTAACAAATAGTTTAGAAATGCTTTACGTAAGAGATTTATACGTTGTTTGTTTTTTTGCGATGCTATATACGTTAAAAGAAAAGCGAAAACAATTATTCACATTTTTCGACGGTCGAAAAATTTGCTGTGCGACAGTAGTTTAACTCAAATTAAAGTAAGCAGTTCATAATATTATAAATTAATATATATAGTTATCAGGTGTGAGAAGCGTCATATCTTAATTCCGCATAATCTAACAATTGGCAACATATTAAAGACTGAAAAACGTAGTCGGAGCTATCTGTCCTATTTTTGATGGGGCAATGTGTCCACACTTTAATGACGTATTGTTCTTTTATACCCAGGTAGCATATGGGTAAATAGATAATGGCGCGTAACTACAAAACTACAAAAGAAAGATTTTCCTTAAGGATGTTTTATATAGTTAGGCAAAATATAACGAAGTTGATGAAAATTTAATATCATATTCTGTATACTCTTTCAAAGTTCAGCGCTAAATTTCAGATCGATTCACAATTTAGATAAAAAGTTATCGATTTTTTAATATCCGAGTTTTAACATGTAACCTTATGGCGTTACAGAGAAAAGTGTAAAAAAAAAAACATTAAAAAATGTAACGAATATAGTGATATTTTACACACAAGTAGATCATCAAGAAACAAAATAAAAGCAAAATTTGAAACGATCATTTACAACATAGTTTTGAAGATATTGCAAAAAGATTAATGAAATTATTGACGGATCGGATTCGTGATCGGACTATCGGCGCGTGCAGTATGGAAGTGACAACACCGCAATCAACTGCTCCGTCCGTAAAGCATGTATACTCGAAAAATAACAAGCTTTTCCACTAACCTCCAATATAGCATTAACTAGATTTGTGTAAGTACGTGTGTGTGTAAGTACAGGCTTCCCAACCTCTTGGATTGTACAGTGTTGTCACATTTAGCTGCGTAGCTTATTAATATATTTACAGCAAATATCATTATAATAAAAATATAATTTTTATGTTTATATAATATACTTAATTTATATTATTGAATATGACTGAAATTACGAGTTTAGAGCAATTACTTTATTTTATAATTTTTTACAGATTTAATTTTTTCAAGTTGAATTCAGGGTAAATTTACTGTCAAAAATTATTTTGCCGAGATTTTGTTTAAGAAAAAAATAGTAGTAACAGTTATTTACGGTCACTAAATCTACGTTTTTTACATTTTATTAGACTTGTAACTATTTGTATACATTTTTTTGTCTTTGGATCTCTAGAGAATTAACCCTTAGTCTGTAAACGTTTTTTTGGCACTTTTAGTCTGTAAACCTGGGTCGTTTTCGTCCTGACGTTTTTTTTTTAAGTGTTAAAGTGTTACAAAAAATCTGAAAAAATTTATGAAGGTAATTCAAACCTTCAATTTGAAGTATCAATCATAAAATTATAATCAATTTAATTTTTTCACATAATTTGTATTTAAAAAATAGAGCAACTAGGGGTAAAATCATTTGTTTACTCAAAAAATCATAACTTTAAGACAAATAAAGATATTGAAATGAATAAAAAAAGAAATTGAAGGGGAAGAGTGTAGCTTTCATAAAAAAATATTGCATGCAATTATTTTGAAATTAAATGCTTAAGTTTGCGACCTCAAAATTGCCAATAATTAGCCCCAAATTTTGTAGTAAAAACAGTAATAAATATATAATAATTCAAAAATTAGTAATAAAATCAATAAGAAGTCAATAGTTAAGGGTCACAACATTCTTCTCCTCGCGAGGACGCAATATTCGAGAAACATCCTCGCCCGACCGTTGCGCTATTTTCTAGAAAAACTGAACAAAAATATTTTTGTAGTTTTTTTTTTGCGGTCAGATGTTTTTGTGACACTTTTACGGACACAATGAATACTTTAAAACGGAAAAACGAAAAAAAATTATTTACGGTTTTGACTAACGTTGACTGTAAAGATGGGTCGTTTTCGTCCGGAGAAGAATTCAAGTGTCTGCTGCGACGGCCGGAGGGGGACTGGCGCCTTGAAACTCGGTAGGTGGGTTCTCGGGGAGCATAACTTTTTCTACGGATGCGCAGTGGCGCCTTTTTTACCCGTTTTCAAAAGTTACAACTACATTTGATTTTCGCCCGGACGAAAACGACCAAGGTTTACAGACTAAGGGTTAATATCAGTGTTTTTAAGATTTCCATGACTTTTAGACCTGTCCCTATAGAACATTTTAAAGACGGATAAGGTAAACATATATCCAATAAAATTATACTTACAATTAGAGTGATTAAAAGAATAAAAATCGAGCGAAAATTTTTTCGCAAAAACAGCGTTAGACTTTGGAATAAATGTTCGGACTCTCACTCGCTAGTGTAAAAAAGTGACCTACAAGCAGCTACTTGATCCTGCGATTCAAGAATCGTCACCAAATTTTTATTTTAAAAATACACGTTAAGTTACATATATGAGTTTGCCTTAAATTATTAAATATTTTCTATTTCAAACGCTGCCGAGGATAAAGAATAGGCACCAAATAAAAAAGTTAGACCATATACGGACAACAAAAGTATACATATATACACACACATACATACATACATACACACGGACATTTTGTTCAAAAGTGATTTTTTGACGTTTTAGAACATTATAAACACTGCCAAAAATACTTAAAAAAAATTTTTTTCACGAAAACAAAGCTTTCTCTATAAGGAAGCAAAAGATTAAAAAATTTAGGGAACAAAAAACTCATCACATTAATTTTGCAACGGACTTAAAATCAGTTTGATGCCACCGTATATAAAGAAAAGTCAGCTCCATGCAGGAATCCTGTCAAAAAATCTACATAAAGTGCCTACTACTGCTCTGACTCCAACTAGGCAGTTTTTTCAATATTATCATACTAATAATAAATAGATAATATTATAAATAAGCATAAAAATTAATATAAATAATGTGTTTTTTATTATGTAGACAGATAGCCCCGCTATGGGGCTACGCTTGACTTGCTTACTTAAAAAATTTATCTCTTTAAGGCTCCTGGGTAGTCACCGCGGCCATATTGGATTCTTACTATCGAGGCGAGAAAAACACCTAATTTTAAGTTGCGGTATTTTCCGAAATAAAAAGACATTTTAATAAAAAATCACGACAGATCGTTTCAGCACACTTCAAAAATTGACCGGATACTATCCTTTTCCCTCGACAATAAACAAACAGCCATAAAGCGAAGCCTAAACATACGGAAAACAAGCCGTTTGACGACTATCGAAAGGAGTGGTGAATGTTCCTTCCGCATATATATTTCTTGCAAATCTTACTATACGGTCAATTTTACGAGTTTCACGAATACGTTAAACGTTAGAGCACAAGTACAGAGCGAATAATAAAGAAATATACCGCAACTTAAAATAAGGTTGTCAACATGTCACAAGACAGAATTCTCCATTGGAGAGAGTGAGAGGAGAGAGTTCTTATTTCTGCCGCGACGGTACGGCGCCACCGTCAACGCAGAGTTCTCGGCTCAGGGACTAGGAGCCTTAAAATGGTAAAATATTAACGATTCTAATTATGTTTTTTTTTAATAGCAAGGTTGAAAGGTTATACCATTAAAATTTTAGCCAAATATCTTTATTAGTTTTTTAGTAAACTTGAAAAAAGCGTAAAGTGTGGACAATAGCCTCGGGTCTCCCTTAAATATATAGATATAATTATATATAAAATATGTCCACATATATATTTTCTTCCTTTTCTGTA